CTTTGAAATAATAGTAGACACCTTCTTGTTAATAAACCTTTTAAAGACTCTCCCAAACATCGTTTTAAACACGTGGTCACTTTTATCACGTGTTTTTGTAATATTAGGTTTAATACTCGCCCTCATCTCAGAACTCACACCAAAAAGGTAACAATATAACCTCTAAAATATATAAAAGTAATATATCTTAGCTAGTAAATTTAGACAAAAAATTAGATAGTCAGTTAATTAGTTAGTTATTTGATTTAGTTTGAGTTCTATAAGTTTAGTTTTCAACTCATATTTTAGTAGATTATAGTTTTAAGAGAATTCTAAGAAATTTCTCTTATAGAATAGATCTTAATTAAGATCTATTATTTTATCTTGTTAATAAATTGAATATTATATCTATCTTGAAATTATATTTTGGAATTGGACTATATTTTAGCTAGTCATAACAAGAATACTATCATTATCTATCTTTAGATTAACTTTGAAATAATAGTAGATATATTTTTATTAATAAATCTTTTAAAGACTCTTTCAAATAACACTCTAAGCACATGATCACTTTTATTATATACTTTTGTAATATTAGAATTAATATTCGCTCTCATTACAGAACTTACATCAAAAAGATAATAATATTCTTTATTAGAAATTAATAGGATAAAATAATTAAAAGCTATTAAAAGTTTAATCAAAATAGAGATAATTAAAAATTATTTATTTTTATTAATTATAACTGCTATTAAAAAATATATAATAATAAAATTAGATCTTGATACATATATATATGAGTTAACATGTAAAAAAATAATAAACATTAAATATAAAGTTTGTGAATCTATAGAAACTCATCTTATTAGAAATTTGAATTTAAAATTTAATATTTTGAAAGCTATTTCTTATTTAATAAAACAGAAATATCTTGTTTAAAATTATTATATCTCTCAACAGTTAACTAAAGATATCATATTTATATATTCAGAATAATTAAAGAAATTTAAGTCTTATAAATAATTAATACTTATAGATTTAATATACAAAACTAACTGATATAATTGATATTTATTTACTCTTTACATCTGTGATACTTATGGATGCTAAAATATGAATATTTGCTTTTTTGTGAGTAGTGAGAATAAAAATACAGTTATGAAAGTATTAATAATAATTTGTAATAAATATTATTATTAGTTTCTTTATTATATACTTTCAGATTATAATAATATTGAAGCTAAAAGTATTAAAAAGATCTTTTTCAATATAACTGCTAGTGAATAAGAATATCAAATAATTCTTTATATTATTCATGTTATAAGAATATAAATGTAAAGAATTTATAAAAAAAAACTTGTAATATTATAATCATAACAATATACAAAAAAATAAGAATTAATTATAAAAGTCTTATTCAAACTATTATTAATTATTATTTTATTCTTTCTATATAAAATCATATTAAAAAAAACTATATAAAAAATACATAACAATAAAATTTATAAATCTATCAACATTCTCTTCTGCTCTTACAAGTTATAATTATAAATCTATTAGAATTTTTTTATAGTAAATTAAAGAGAAAAATATCTTTATTACATGATTTAATTGATATGAGATTTTTTTATTTATTTTATTTGTTTACCTATCTTATTTTATATCTAAATTTTTCTTTTTTTAGATGCTATTTATGATATTATTGATATTAATTGTAAAAAAGATCTGAATTTAAAAGTATCATCTTTAATTTTAATATTAAGAAAGTGTCTGCATATGATATTAATAAAGATATTCTTGAGAAAATCTATAGATTTCTCTTCTTATTCCAATAACTAATCATTAAAGAGATTTATGCTATAATAAATAGGCTTGAAAAAGAAAAAAATGTATCTGATTTAACTTCTCATAATTATTATTATATATTTTACAATTGATATTTATTATCATATAAGCATATCTTTTATGAACATATACATAATAATAAATTATTAACTGTTAATATATGAAAGATATTTCAGAAAATATTTAAAAAAAGTAAATTTGAGATTTATGAAAGTTATAAATCATTTATTAAATATGTATAAATGGAATAATAAAAAAAGATTGAAGTTTAAAAACTTGTTATGACTGAATTAACCAAAAGAATGCATAATAGATACTGGAATATTGAAGAGATAGATGATGTTAAGAGGATGACAACTTTTATCTCTATATTAAAAATCTTCTTGAATTTGATTATCTTGTAATTTAATCAAATAAAAGAAAAAAATTAAAATTATTAGTATTTAGTTAATAATAAAAATACAGATTATAATAATACTTTCCTTCATTATTGAGACTTAAATAAGTTTTAAAATTGATATATTATATTAAAAAATTTATTATATTATATTTATAATAATAAATAAAACTTAAATTATATAAAAATTCTTATCTTCTATTAAACGTTATCACTTTCTATCAATAATGATAATAAGAATTATTTAATTACATTTTCTGACTAATCATCATTCGTATGTTCTAACCAATCATTATTGATTCACGTGATTTGCACCCGCTTTAGACGAGCCCCCCCGAAAGATGTTCAAACAGATTGAAATCACATGACCGAATATCTTGATTGATGAAAATTATTTAAAATTCACGTGTCATAATTATTATTTTTTTTGTAATGTTTATAATGGTTTCAAATAGTTATAACAAAAAAAAAATCGATAAAGAAAAGGGTAAACAAGTACTTCGCGATGAAGACGAAGATTCTGAAGACCCTCTAAGTTTCCCAGCTTCGCATATTCAGCGAGAGGAACAACATAATTCAAGGCAGCTTAAGCAATTTGCAGTTGACGACGATACTTCTGACGACCCCTTGACACAGTGTTTCGTCACTACCACCACTAAAAGTTACCCTAGCAAACCCAATATAAATAAGAAAAGGCTGCGGTCGCTTCGTAGACAGAAAATTCAGCGATTTCTTGAGTCAAGTGAGTCGGAAGAGGAGGAGGAGGAGGAGGATGAATTTTTGATTGATTCGTGTTCTAGAATTGCAGAAAGGGATTTGAAATGTAGGTATTTTGACAATAATTTGTGAATTTTCGATTGGAATAATTATATACTTTGTTAATGCTTCGGTTCGATTCATTTCTTATTCGTAGCATCAAACTATTCATTACAGCCTAAGGTATGCTCCATTTCTCAGACAACAATCCAGCAACGGTGGAAACCTCTTGATACATTATCAAAACGACAACTTGTGCGCGCGCTAAGAAATATTGCATCGTAAGTTTCTTTTTACTAAGCTTAAATAATATCAAACAAATGGCTAAATGAAAAGCGTAAACAATTTATAGATCTGTGACTTTTAATATTCGAAATGCATCGAAAAGGGCGGAGGTACAAAGAGATCTGGATGCATTAATCTCTAGGTATGTATGTAATTTTCAATATCTTTATAATTAATGTCTTAATCAAAGATTGAATAATTAATTGGTAAACATGTTACATAAAATATTCTGTGAATAAAAAGTATCAATAAACGATTAGAGACTGTGTCACTTCCAAAACCCGTAAAAAATATGGCTTTTGATAGCAAAAAATTTACTTCACAAAACGTAAGTAATAGTAATATTATTAGTATTAGTTGTTCACACAAGAGTTATGCATTAATTTTGTGTGGGTTTATGTGTGTATCTATATATGTGTAGAAAGATATGGAAAATATTCTTGTGTCAGAATTAGAGATGATAAAGCAAATGGAAATACAGCTCGCTCAAGAAAAACGGCAAGTATTCTAACATTATTTGAATATCGATAATGTTTCGTTTCTCTTGATTAATGTTTATTAATAAATAATAATAGATTGTTAGCGGAAGAACGCGATGCCTTAGAACGATTTCGAGAAATGAAAATATCACAAGATTCTCAAAGTTCGAGACGTTCAGAGTCAAAGGTTTTTTTTTGAATTAAAAGTTAATTATAATAATTACTTGTTGCTTACCTGACAAAGATCTAAATCATTAAATAATTTTATTTATACAGTTATATCCTCTATTACAAGCAAAACTGGAAGATCCTATTGACATCGACGATGAGCTAATAAAAAATAATATAACAGCACCATTGACAAAAGAAGAAGAACGAGTATGGGATGTAAGTATTACTCAAATAATATAAGATCGATCGATGGGATCAATATATTAAGATATTAATATTAATAATAGCCTGCCAAAGACCAAACGATCATCGATCTCAAGAATTCGTTACTTCCACATCTTCGTTCAATCAATAGCAGTACACAGTCGTTAGATGATGTCGTCTATAGAATCGGAGATGCTGAACGAAAGTTGTGGAGGTTATTAAGGGTAGCGGGATTGGATGAACAGATTTCACAAATACAGTAGGGGTTATAAGTAACTGCACCCATCCAATTTGCTGTAAATGCAATAAAATAATTTGAAATTTTTAAAACAGAAGGATAAAACAAATCCTGCTTCTCTATATTATTATATCCTTATAGCATATTTATATCCGATTTTATAACTTTTGAAATTTTCTTCTAAAAATAATAATTATGATGCTAAATCTTTGTTTATTCCAATATTTTGATATTCTATTATTTGATTTATGTGAAAATGATATCACTTGATTGAATGGTGTCATTTTGCAAATCGGATCACTATAATGGAAACTTGATCAATAAAAAAATGATTCAACAAAATAAAACTCACCTTTATCACTTTCATTTCTTTCCACGTTCTTTAGAATTGTTAGCCTCTCTATTTATTGTTTGTTTGTTTGTTTAACTTGGAACGCGAAAATTCGCTACTTAATATAGAAGTAACCACCATAAATTTGCAATAATTAACGCGGCGGATCAAAAATTTTTTATTCTCAGCTTTTTAATCAGAAATCGGCGACAGAACCTTTTTAGTTGCAGCAATAATGGCAATGAAGTATTCGCGCCTAGTGGTGTTATCTGCGGCATTTAGTTCATCGATAGTGATGTCTGCTTTCTGCAATTCTCGGACATGTATCAAATCTGATACCACAAATTTATACAAATTACTAAGCATTGTTCTTTTTCTTATGAGTGAATAACTGATAATTTAACTATTTTTGCGAAGAGAAATACGGTTCATTAAACAGCTTTAATTAATTCAAAAAATCGAATGCAGCACCATGTGAGGAAAGCACCAAATTAAGCTAAAAATATCTTAGTAACTGTCTGTCACCTATTCAACACAAAATATTACATTTTTCTCTTTGGAAAATCATATAAGCTATATTCTCGATAATAAAAAATTACAATATTCGCATAAATTGATATAAATTCACTAAAACCCACTATTCAAATCAAGTCAGAAATAAGTTTAATGAGCTCTTTCAAGTTCTTTAAGATCAGGAGGAAATAGCACACGATCGATTAACTAACAAATATATATGTTATTGTTATTGATTGAAACATATTTTTAAAAAAAAACGTAAAGAAAAAATACTTACATGCACAACGCCATTCTTTCCGGGAGCATCAGTCACCAAAATATTAGCGTCCCCATTGACTTTAACCTTCAGATACCGGCGACCAAACTGCATAGTATCCAATTTAATAGGATCACCTTGATAAGATTTCAACTCGAAATGACCTTGATGCCTTTTCGGTGGTCTAGGATGATGCGGTGGATGAGGAGGATGTGGAGGATGTGGAGGGTGTGGAGGATGTGGTAGATGCGGACAATGACCACTCCCATCACCACCATGGCCTCTATGACCACCACCACCGCCACCACCACCGCCACCACCGCCGCCGCCACCACCACCATCACCGCCGTCACCACCATCTCCACCATGACCACCATGTCCTCCATGACCACCATGTCCTCCATGACCACCACCACCACCGCCGCCACCTCCTCCTCCGCAACCATCTCCACCATCACCACCATGATGTCCTCCAAATGATTTTGTATTGTCATCATCATCAGCAACAATCCAATCAGAACTATACGCCAGCTCTGTAGAAATATGATATAACAAGAGTTTCTCAAGATCTTTTTTTCCCCATGGACCAAACAGATGGAAGAGTGTTTGATGACTGAGTCGTGCAAACGCGGCATTTGTCGGAAGGAAAAGGGTGATTGCTTTGTCGTCTTTGAAGATATCCGCAATCCCTACCTTTTGGATTGCGGATGTGAATGTGGACAAGTGAGTTGGAAAGAGGAATGCTTCTATAAGGATGTTTGGTGGTGGAATGAGCACTATTTTTTATTATTAGAAGTAAATAGCTTTATTAGTCTCTTTGTTATGGTTAACGATATTTAAAATAAATGAAATTCAACCTTTTTCAATGGCATGAGCAAGACCATTCGAAGCTCTCAAATTAAAATCGGTAACTTTAGCATAATTGATGAATACTCTTTTGCGCCAGAGAACACCTACACGGAGTTTCTGTGGCTCGTCATTCAAATATGGTTCGGTGATTGAACTGTTTAGAACACGAGATGTTCGGATTAGGTATGAGCAGAGGGTTTTTGGTACTATATGATAGAGAATGGCCTAGATGAATTTTATTTCAGGAATTTTGTCAATAACATACGTGCTTATATATACAAGATCATAATCAAATTCTATTGAATCATTACAAACCTTTCGGATACATTCTTTACTAGGCCAATGCTTCACATGATCGAATGCCGAGTCGACAGGAGCAAATAGGGTCAACTATACAATTTTTTATGATTAAAATTTCATTTAGTGATTTTATTATTGCTACCATTATTGTTAATATTACTTACATTTGCCTCCGACTTGTTCAAAACCTCTATTAATTTTTCATCTTCGTCAACAAGTTTAGCTAGCACAGTGAATCGCTTGTCCGAGCTAATAAGTTCATACAGAGTCTTCTTATCTTTTGGACCTGGATACGGTGGATAATGAGGATGATCATCATCATCCTCATCCTCATCGTCATCATCGTCGTCATCATCATCATCATCGTCATCATCATCATCGTCAATGGATTTAAAATATTTCTCTTCTTTATTCAAATCAGAAGAAATTATCCCCTCAAAAAAAGATTCAGCGATATTGTCAACATCATCATTGTCATTATTATTAATAGCCGAGGAAACTGTACCCTTAAAGAATGCTTCAGCAATATCAATCATTGTTTGGGCATCATTCTCAATATTTTCATCATCATTTTTCAAAGCTGGTTTTTGATGAAGAGTTTTAGAAGGCGAAGCATAATGATGGTCATTGATGAAGCTTTTGTGTTTCCAAGTATGCTGGCTGATAATTCCTGCAGATACTATTGTAGTGGTTGTCGCTGCCAAGAGAACTATGGCTACGCTAGAGAACCGAAGAAAACTTTGCAAATTCTTTTTCCTCATGCTGATTACTATTGTCAAATTAGATAGGAAGAAAAATAATATCTTCCTTTTATACGCACAAAAATCGTGCAGCGTATATGTTGACGACGTTAAAGGATGAGGGATTCTTATATAATGCTATCATCTTCCGGTTCTGTATAACAATAATAATGGTGCCGTGTGTATATCGGTTAAACTTTTTCTACATTTGGCATTTTTTCGTTTGAGAAAGTTTCTCACGTCTATTTATCAAAGCACAGAGCACATTTTTATTGTTGTTAACCTATTATCTATGCATAGATTATTTCACAGATATGACTCTATCCAGTACTTACCGGTTTACTGATTTCCCCGCTGGCATTTAGACTAACGAGAATAAGAATTTACAAGTACTTACAGGTTTACTGATTTCCCTGCTGGCATTTAGTCTAACGAGAATAAGAATTTACATAAAAAAGACGGATTTAGCTTGGAACACTAATGTTGAAGAGACAATTTTACATATAACATAACCTTTTCTCTAACCCTAATCCTGATCTTAAAACCAGTCTTTAGGTGAAAATTAGTAGATTCGATAATTTATTGTGACAAGTAATGAATCAAATCAAAAATTTCTACACACATGTATATATCAACCTTTACAGCATTAATTTCAAACGAACTATAATAAATTAGAAGAAATAATAGTTTCTTAAACATCTTTGTTATTGTAATTACTACTATATAATCTTCATCCAATTCACTCAAAAATATAATTGAAAAAATAAATGTCAATTCGAAAACCCAAGAAACCAAAGTCTCTTGTTTCTTCGCCTTCTTCATCGCCATCTTCTTCAGGGTACTTACAACTACCACCTGAAATCCTATTACAAATATTTAAAGAATTTCTTCGCGGCATCATAGACAAAAAGTATGTTACGAAATAACGCTTCGCACATTCATATTGCCAAAAAGTCATAGTAACGAAATGTCGTTGGTCTAATTACGATTGATATTAGTCATAATCCCAAGGATCTTATATTGTTGCAAATTGTCTGTAAACAATGGTACTGTCTAATTGAGGTTGCCATTGTTGAAGAACTTGTAATTCCTTATGATTGGGTCTTATATATAAAGGCAAGAAGATGTACGTCGTGGTCTTTTCTTTTTAGGAAATCATGACCATCCGCGTATGTTTTTAGGAACCGGATCGCAAAACGATAGAGTATCCATTCATTCTGTCGTTGCCACCTTCTCCATCCTCCTACTCCTCCGTTTTCGCTAAATTCGTGTGCCATTCCATCCTAAGCAACAAATATAATAATGATGATTACTATTACTTAGATGCACACTTTTTATTTACTCCAAAAAATAAACCATGTATCTATAAACTGCAGCAATCGCATAAATATTTCTCGCACCCCACCATCAGTTTCGGGGCTAGACGAGGGTACCGTATCGCGTGTTTTCGTATTGGTAAATTAACCCAATGGGGAGAATGGATGGTGCCAATTAAAGGCGAATGTGACGATTTGCGGGGAAACTCGAAAATAGAAATGATTTACACGCGTGGCGAACCCGAAGTGTTCGAAATTGTGGGAGTCAAAGTCGCCCTTCAGTATCTTGAATGTGAATGAAAGGAGGATATTTATTATATTTTTATTTATTAATTCAGTATATTTTTTCATTTTATGCTGTAATAATGAATATACCACAATGATTTTCTTTTAGAAATCATAAACTTCCATTTAGCATATATAAAAATCATGTCAAATAAATCAAAAAACGGCTACAGCTTGACGAATTGCACTATTTTAAATACGATTGCTAATTTTTATTCGGTTTTGCTATGTTTAACCGAGCTCATAATATAACGATAATACATGTACTGTTAATCTATCCAATCATTTAAAAAGTGCCTTCCAGGATTTAAAACTATTTTATTTTTTTTTGTTGCCGTGTTAAGGATCACATTTCACATATTTGCACGATATGTGAATCTTGAACACTGCTCTTTAAATGCTGCAACGTATTCAGATATGCTAATGGTACAATGATGAATTTTGTAATAGCATTCATTACCTTTGATTTTTATAAACGTAACATAAATATATCGATATTATAATTTTATATAATGAATGATAAATAAAAACAGAGAACTAAATTCTTTATATTGTTTTAATAATTTGAAAATAAATGACTTTTTCTCGTCATAATATCTATCTGGCTAAGGATCGAAATAATAAAAAATTCATTATTGCTTGATTGACTTACAAAAAACTTTTTTTTACGAAATTGCAATAATAATCCATAGCTGCGAATTAGCCATATATTTGAAAAAATCAGATCAAAGTATATTTAACTACGTTCTGTAATTCTATATTTTATTTCACCTTTTTTATCATTCTGGAATTAAAAAACACGAAATACACATACGGTATTTCTTGTGAATAAAACATCATTAATAATAAATGGCAAAAAGTCTCGCGCAAGCAAGTATCTTAAAAATAAAAACATCCTCTTTTTTCCCGTGAAGTCATATTTTCTTCAAAATATAAAACATTAAAATTTTTCTGGGTGGATTAGCTTCATCCACGTCAAAAAAATGAGACTGAAGTCATGAACCAAACACAGAGTCTTACGATTGTCAAGCAATTGTTAAAGACAAGCTTGAGTTCTATTACTTATTTGAGGTGAGTTTTTGGGTGCTTTGCATGTTTTTACACCAATAACTTCCGGTAATTCATAATTCTATAACAATACAAATAACTTTTAGAGGTCTCTTTCCGGAAGAAAATTACGAAGATTTTCAAGTTGGGAGTAAGTGTGGAGTTCGCTATCCAAATTTTTATCTTTAAGATAGTCTCAAAAAATGATAATTTAATAGGTCTCGCTTTAAAACATCTCAAGCGTGATTACAGTAGAGAAGCAAACTCATTGTTAGATTGGCTGGTGAATATAATAAGAGTAAAAAAACAACAAATTCCTTTTTATGTCTAATCTCATATCTAAATGAATCAGGAAACCGGTATATTCGACGCATTAACACATCAATATTTACGCGCGATCGTATTCGGGATCTTTCTTGATCCAAACGAGCCAAACAAGCTCGTCGAGTGCTATACCTTCAAACTTACATATCCACACGGCGAGCCGTTACTCCGAATAGAGAATAATGAGGGAGAGGTATTTGCGACTATAGGTGGCGGTAATAGTGATAATGTAAGTACGAATCAACAACAGCATGCATTTACGATTGGCGAAATAAAAAAGTCGATGCAGCAGTTGCTGCGTCGGTTGATTTTGCTTACTCAGACGTTAAAGGTAACATTTTTTTCGTGTTTGCTATTTATTCCAAAATGTTTGTTAGTAACATCATGTTAATTTGTCCCATGTTTATTTAAATTAAGCCGTTGCCAGGTAAATTTCAATTTTCTTTCGCTCCTTTTAATTTTAACTGAATCAAATCTCTGTAAACTTTTTTTTAACTAGACAATCGTTACATAGTGGTAAAGCTCCACTATTACGAAGACGTAACCCCGACCAACTACGAGCCTCCATTCTTTCGCAGTTGTGGTGATCAAGAACGTTTGATCTTTGACAAAAAACCTGAAAAAATACCTGTCGGAGATGTAGAGACAGCTTATCATGGGTATAAAATAAAATGGCTCACTAGCTGGCAAATTGTTTTTTTAAAATTCACAATCATTTATTGTTTGATTGTGATTTGATTTAGACTCAACTTGACAATTCAAACAGTCTCAGACGCTACAACTCTAGAAGAATTGGATCAAGAAGCATCAAATAAAGAATTCCGTCTTTCCAATGCGATCGATTCTTCATCGATAATAATCGAAGCGCATATTGGTAATGCGAAAAGACAGCCAAATACCGAGAAATGGAGCGCCGAATTAGACTTTGATGAAGACGAAGCTTTTATGTTTAATACTATGGCGACTTCCGTTGCTACACCTATTCCTGTTCATCAACTTCCATGTCTTGGTGATATACAAAATACCGGTCAAGAAATAATTCGAATCGATGAAGACGAGGAAGACAACAACACAATGGTTTTCATGGAAGAAACGTTGCATCAATTAAGCGAGACTAGTGGTGGTAATGATGATAAAGATAACACAAGAGAAGACAGCTCAAAAACTCCACCACGTGTTCTTTCAATAGCCGAAAAGTCATTATTAGATGACGAAACGAGAAAATCATCGATCTTTTCCGACGATAATGATGAGCAAGACAGCATTATTAATGCACCTCAGAAGGCAGTTACTCAAACATATCAAAATCGTAGAAAGTCGTCACGGATTCAAAAGCAGCAGGAATCGGAAAAGTTGCAATATTATGACGAAGAGGAGGACGAAAAAGAAGAAAAGGTGTCCGGAAAATGTCAGTGTGACTGTGGCTCAAGCATTAGCGATGACGAGATGGTAGGTATTTTATGTGAAAATAACAAAGTTCTTGATTCAATCCAAATATTATTATTAATTCTTTAAATAGATTCACTGTTCAAAATGCGATACATGGGGACACGTTGTCTGTTATGGGTACACATCGAAACGAGATCCACGAATGTTAAAAAATCATGTTTGCTATAGGTGCTTACACTCGGAATTCGAGTGTAACAAGAAAAATAGAGTTTCGTTGAAAAAATCTGAGGAGCTTTGGAATATTGAAAAATTAGGAGATTTAGCTTTACTTCGACGAATGTTAATTATTTTGTGGAATGAAGAGCCTCCTAAAAATTATCAGGTGCTGAGAGAAAGGTTAGGTAAATAACATATAAAAGATGATAAGGTTATTTTGCATTTTGTCATGTTATTATTTAATATAAAAATATTCTTTTTATACTAGGTGTCAAGTACAATAATGCAACAAGAAGAGTACAAAAACGGCTGAAAGATGAAGGTTTCATAAAACCAAGTTTCAACAATAACAAGAACAATAATGGCAGGGTAAAAACTTCAAAGGAACCATTGTTTTCGGTGGTTAAATCGCCCGAAAATAAATGCAAGATGGAAATTTATTTTGATCCGTTGTTAGGAATTCCAAGATCGTCATTACAAGAAAACGTCAGTACTTTTACCAACTCGATCGATATTTTAGCTCGAAGCTTTTGATGATTCTTATTTATATTCTTGTTGAATTAGAAGTCAACATTACCGGCTGCTGATGAGAAATCAAATAATAAAATTTCAACCTCTGAATCTTTCCGAGATATAACAAATAGTATTAATAATAATCGAATCAATGCTACTTCATCAACACAATTACAGTCAACTTTATCACAAGTTATTGAAGAAGAGGAAACTTCTTCTCTGATGGAAATTTCGCCCTTGCCTTCTGTTTCTCAAAAATATGGGAAATCAAGTGTTATCGAGGTATCTTTTAATGCTGTTACGCATGTAAAGTCATTCTTCCTTGATTGAATTTTTTGATACGTGTATAGATTAATTCTCCTCCTTTGGGACATATGGAAATATCTTCCAAACATGGTCGGGAACAAGATGTCATTGAGGTTAATCCATTATCTCTTTTAAATAGAATAGAATTTAACCTAAAAACAATTCTGAAGAAATTTGGTCTTTTTTATTTTTGTATTCTATAATTAGATACCGTCATCACCACAAGATCATACGTTTACGAGAGCGAACTCTGAGGGAACACGTAGTGCTTCTGTCAATAGTCATAATCAAGATAATAATCAAAGAGTCACACGATCACGACGAAGACGGGAACGAAGTAATAGTAATCATGATACTGCCACAACAATTACAACTGTTCTTAATAATGATGATGAAAGCAGTAGTGGTATTGTAGCTAGAGATAAAAAGAAGCGCAAAGTCTCTATTAGTATTGGCCATATCGCAGTACTATAGATTCTTATTCTCGATACTACTATTTTATTTTTTATTATGAGAGTTAGAAAATACAAGGTCACCACCATCCGTGTATAATTAAATATATTTTTTTATGATACTGGTTATTCAATTTTTTGAGGTTATTTTGAGAATTCAAAAACTCAGTTCGCTTTATTTGTGATTGAATAATTGAAACTCATTCAATACTCCATAATAACAAAAATGATTTTATTTCTTTTTGTGTGTGTGATTCTTATTTTTTTTACATGAGTTTATTTCTAAATTTATCAGTTTGCATTTATCTCGGTCAATAATTACGACATTACGATGATGTAATTATAGTTATGATGATCATGGATAAAAATAGAACCATTCGATATATAACTATTTTTGGGACCGTTAGACGTTAAGATGTTGTGTCCCAAGATTACAGAATTTTTTAATTGATCATCCGATTTTTTAAACAAAGTATGTCGATATAATAATTAAAAAATTAACAAAATTTATTAATATAATTTTTCAATGTCAGCCTCTCTTTTAAGATGTAGTCAAAACTCTATAACAGAGTTTAAGTTTAATTCTACAGTAACACACAATTTTCCCAAAAGTTATCGGATTCAAATTGCAATGTCACGAATATTAAAGCAAATTTAATATAATAAAAGAAGCGCTATCAATATATATAATTAATATTTAGTTGATAGTTAACAGATTTAACTCCACGAGGCATGCTATCAACTAATTTATTTAAAGTTTCAGGCTCAATTAAATTCCATTCTTCTTTCATTGCAACACTTATTCAGACTCTTTACCAGCACGAAATGATATTGGTGGTCATGTAAAATGTTATGATGGTCAAAATCCAGATCCGGCGTAAATATTTGTTGC